CTGAAGCAGCAATGTACTCAGCTTCTGTTGTAGAATCAGCCACCGTGTCTTGTTTAGAACTCTTCCAGCTCACTGCTCCGCCATTGAGGCAAAACACAAATCCTGACTGCGATCTAAAATCATCCTTATCGGATTGGAACCCAGCATCTGTGTAACCATTTACAATGAGCTGATCTTCACCTCCATAGACCAAGAATACATCCTTAGTTCTTCTCAAGTACTTTAGAATATTCTTGACTGCTATCCAGTGACTATCACCTGGATCTGACTGGTATCTACTAGTCATGCTTAGAGCGCAAGCTACATCAGGGCGAGTACATAACATAGCATACATGATAGAACCTATAGCAGAAGCATAAGGGACTCTATTCATCCGATCTCGCTCATCTTGTGTTTGTGGACACTGAGTCTTGCTGAGATATGTGCCATGTGACATAGGCAAGAATCCTCTCTTGGAATCTTGCATATTGAACCTATGCAGGACCTTGTCAATGTAGTTACTTTGACTTAGTCCTATTAGTTTTCTAGATCTATCTCTATAGATCTTGATCCCTAACACATAGGATGCATCACCCAAGTCTTTCATTGAGAAACACTTTCCAAGCCAAGCCTTTACAGACGAAAGCATTGGAACATCATTCCCAATGAGAAGTATGTCATCTACATATAGGACTAGGAAAGTGATTGCACTCCCACTCAATTTCTTGTATACACAAGGTTCCTCTTCGTTTTGATTGAAACCGAACTCTTTGATTGCAGCATCAAAACGAAGATTCCAACTCCGAGATGCTTGCTTCAGACCATAAATGGATCTTTTAAGCTTGCATACCTTCCCAGCATTACTTGGATGTTCAAAACCCTCAGGTTGTATCATATACACGTCCTCTTCTAGATTTCCATTTAGGAAAGCAGTTTTGACATCCATTTGCCAAATCTCATAATCAAAATGAGCGGCAATTGCTAAGAGAATCCGAATTGATTTAAGCATGGCAACTGGCGAGAATGTTTCATCATAGTCTATACCATGAATTTGTTTGTAACCTTTCGCCACTAAACGTGCTTTATACACATCTATATTGCCATCTTTATCCAATTTCTTTTTGTAGATCCATTTGCACCCAATGGTTCTACAACCATCAGGTAGATCAACCAAGTCCCAGACTTGATTATCAGCCATGGATCTCATTTCGGATTTCATGGCTTCTAGCCAACTATCGGAGTGATGGCTCGTTATTGCTTCTTGGTAGGTCAAAGGTTCATCTTCGTCAATTAATAATACGTCGCGATCCTCAGTTAAGATAAACATGTATCTAACTGGTTCGTTATGTACCCTAGATGACCTCCTTGGAGCGAGTGTTATCTCAGACGTATCCACAACAACTTGTGGCTGAGGTTGTGGGACTGCTTGCATAGTCTGACTATCTTGAATTTCTTGAACTTCTTCAAGCTGAATTTTACTCCCACTGGTTCTTTCGGAAAGAAATTCTCTTTCTAAGAAAATACCATTATGAGCAACAAACACTTTGTTCTCTGATTGGTTGTAAAAGTAATATCCTTTTGTTTCCTTAGGATAACCCACAAATAAACACTTATCTGATTTGGGTTCAAGCTTATTTGAAAGTAAACGTTTTACATAAACTTGACAACCCCAAATCTTCACAAAAGCTAGACTAGGAACCTTTCCTGTCCATATCTCATATGGTGTCCTTTCTGTAGCCTTTGTTGGAGCCCTATTGAGTATGAATGCAGCGGTTTCAAGAGCGTAACCCCAGAATGAGATTGGTAGTTCAACGAGACTCATCATGGAACGGACCATGTCTAACAAGGTCCGATTTCTCCGTTCGGACACACCATTCCATTGTGGTGTACCTGGCGGAGTGAGTTGTGAAACAATTCCACATCCTCTTAGATGATCACTAAATGCCTGGCTCAAATATTCACCACCTCGATCTGATCAAATGGCCTTAATTGTTTTGCCAAGTTGATTCTGAACTTCATTCTGGAATTCTTTGAACTTTTCAAAAGCTTCATGTTTATGCTTCATTAGGTACACATAACCAAACCTACTGAAGTCATCAGTGAATGTTATGAAGTACTGAAAACCTCCCCTGGCCATTGTTGACATTGGGCCACATACATCCGAGTGTATGAGGTCCAATAAACCGTGAACTCTTTCACCTTTACCAGTAAATGGTGACTTGGCCATTTTACCCAATAAACAAGATTCACACTCCTCGATTGATTCAAAATCAAAAGAATTAAGAAATCCACTAGAATGGAGTCTTTTAATGCGCTTCTCATTTATATGGCCTAGTCTACAATGCCAAAGGTATGTTGGGTTTGAGTCGTTAGATTTAAACCTTTTTGTATTTATGTGATAGATAGGCATTTCAAGGTTTAGAACATAAAGTCCATTTATGAGACTAGCACTGTAACGCCCCTCTCAGGGTTAAAGGAATCGTTACACTAACTTACTAATTTTAAAAATAACTGCAATTTACGGCCGTCTATTTAAGAAATTAACCCTGATAAAATTTCAAATGTAACTAAAATATAACTCCAAATAAAACTTGATAAAATATAGTTATCACCAGCAAATGTGATAACCACCTGGATCCAGGAATTTACTAAAACTTCAAATCCTCAAATAAAAATAAAGTAATATAAATCACTTTATTATAACACTGGAATACTGAAACCAAATATTATCTAGCTAAAAGCCACCAAGGTCGTTCCCGTTAACTCATCTTGGCACGCGTCCCACTCCCTCATCATCTTCCTAGGCCTTGGCCTTGTCCTTGGTATCTGTACATGCGAAGAAAGAAAACTGATAAGCTTTACGCTTAGTAAGTCACTATGGCTCCACAAAAATATCTAGAAGTCTAGGCCAATTTATCAATAGATAGATTTAGGCTATAAGCATGCACTGAGCAAATAACTAACACATAACTTCTCAAATACATTCTGAGGGAGATCTCAAAATTTCTTCTCAAAACAACTCTGTAAAACTTTCTGAAAGAGATCTCAAAACAACTTTCTGTAAAACTTTCTGAAAGAGATCTCAAAACAACTTTTTGTAAAACTTTCTGAAAGAGATCTCGTTAACCTTCTGTATAACTCTTTGTGACCAATTTTACTCTGTGGGCCCGTGATATGTACTCAATGGCGCCAATCCGATAGCTCAGGGGAGCGACCCACTAAACACATCGGACTCTCTGAAACTGATAACTCTGTAACTCTGTGGGAACTTGTTCCCGAGTACATATCACTTAATCTTTCACTTTAAGTATTAGTTCTTTTTACGGTGACGTTTGGATAAAAACATCATTAAAATCTCGAAATAAAAGTACTGACAAAATCTTGACTATGCCAGATAATAAACATAACTTAATACAACAATTAAATATCTCAGCAAATAATTCACCAGGTTCACATAATAGCATATAGTCTAAAATCATCTATCAAAAATCAACCAGACTTCTTTCTTTTATTTGGTTGAACAAACATGTACAGGTGGTAGTGAACTTACCTGTCAACGGCTGAACTCAATTACTCAAATAAGTGTGGCCCCTTGATAACGTCTTCCGGTAAGCCCTTCTTAAAACTCTTTAGTTAAATAAACCATATAATTAGAATTTACTGGAGGAAGAAGATTTTTTTCCTTACTGCTAAGATCGAATTAAAAATCATCACTATGTTTTACAAACTGGTGCAAACTAATTTGAACCAAAACTGAAATTTTCTAAACTGGAGTTTTCTAAACTGCAAGCTGGACGATTTCTATAAAATAATTGGACCAACAAGCTTCAAAACTTTGATAAGTTCTTGAACGACTTGCTCACATCAACTGGTGGAAATTTTACTAACTTTAACACCCTAACTAATCAGCCTCCTTGAAGTCAAAATTTGAATTACAAAACTAACGTTTTGATGCCGATTCCAAAAACAAACTAAAACTCCCAAATCATCACTTACCAAACAGACTCTTCAAAAGAATACTAAAACTACAATTAGCTCCCTTTTTATTAAAAGAAATTGCTGGTGCAGCTTAAAAAAATGCAGGGAAAAGGTTTCCAAAGTAAAAATTTGAATCTGCCATAGAGTTGCTATGATTCTAGAGAGTATTAGCAACTCAGGGAAAGATTTAGAGTTAAATTGTGGGCTGCTTCACCGCAGATCAAAATCATTGATACAAGAATTTGAAAAATGAATTCAACTGGAAGAATTTGATCTGGAAACATAAATTCTTCAATCATTAAAATCTAAATTTGATTAATAAATTCCAACCTAAGTTACTACTTATCAAAAGTAGCTGGAACCGGAGTAATTTAAAATACAGACGAATGAACTTTGGAATTGGAATTGGAGAATTTAAAGATACGGAGTAATGATCCTACAATAGAACTAAAAAATTACTTCTGCACTAATTGAATTCATGAGTTGTACACGACAATATTAATCTGGTAACTAATTTACTTGAATGACAGAGCCAACTCACTTCAGGAGAAGATTAGGGAATTGCTAAGCAAGGAGAAAGAAATTGTCGTATGACTGTATGAGTACCTGTGGTGAGGCTGGTGAAAAACCGAAATAGCCAATCCGAAGAACCAACAATGGAAAGGAATGAGGAAGATATCTGGTGCTCAACTAAAGAGAAAACCGGTGGACTGATGCTAAAAGAATGAGGATGCCGCAAGGGTTTACTACGATAATACCGTCATATATCGTAGTAAATACAGTCCAAATACTAATTCGGGCCAAGATAATTAATTTGGGTTTCTAATCATCTCTAAAAAATGGTGTTTCTAGCACATTAAAAGAATTTTCTATTTCAAAATAAACTGATTAAGCTTTAAAACATTACTTATTTCTCCACTTAAAATTATTCGAGCTTACCGGTCAACGTTACCTGCCAGAAAAACACATGATCAAACAATAAATCACATTATTCATAAAATAATCTTATTTAACTGACTAAATAAAATAATAGATTAAAGTAACTAGATCGCTAAAATCGGGGTGTTACAACCACTACCATAAAAGATCTCATTAAAATAAATAGAACAAATGTTGTTCTTTATTATAAAATGAAATCCTTTCTTGTCCAAACAAGAAACGGAAATAATATTCCTGCTAATGGCAGGTACATGATAACAATTATCAAGTTCTAAAACTAAGCCCGTGAGCAAATTCAAAGTAAATGTCCCTATTGCTAATGCTGCAACTTTTGCACCGTTGCCTACTCGTAGGTCAAGTTCACCTTTAGCCAGCCTTCTACTCCTTGTTAGTCCCTGCACATTTGAACAAATGTGAGAACCACAACCGGTATCCAATACCCATGAAGTAGTGGTAGTAACATTTACTTCTATCACATAGATACCTGAATTGGAAGTATCACCATGCCCCTTCTTTTTCAGTTCCTCCAAATATGCCTTGCAATTCCGCTTCCAGTGACCAGTTTTGTTGCAGTGGAAACATTTTTGCTCTTCTTTAGAAGAAGAGCTAGCAACTGATTTGCTTTTACCCGAGTTCTTAACTAAGGTTTTGGATTTCTTGTTTCCACCAACCTTGCCATTACCATGCTTCTTGAATCCTTTCCCCTTTTTGACCATCAAAATGTCACTCCGATTTTTCTTGATGTTTTGCTCAGCAGAGTTGAGCATTCCATGCAATTCGGTTAAGGTCTTCTCAAGACCATGCATATTATAGTTCATGATGAACTGGTCATATGCCGGAGTGAGTGATGCGAGAATCACATCAGTAGCCAACTCTTGACTAATTGGAGATCCAAGTCTTTCCAGGTGATCCCTAAGCCCAATCATCTTGAGCACGTGAGGTCCAACCGGGTTTCCATCAGTAAGCCTTGTGTGAAACAAAGCTTTGGTCGTTTCGAACCTTTCGATCCGTGCTTGTTTCTGAAACAAGTTCTTGAGTTCATTAGAGATGTCATGTGCACGACGATTCAGAAACTGTTTCTGAAGATTAGCTTCCATGATAGTTAACATCAGACAAGTGACATCAACTTCATCACGGACATGCCTTTCATAAGCATCTCTAATGGCTCTAGCAGCATTGGCCGCTGGTTCAGCAGGAATTGGTTGGTCAAGGACATATTCTTTACGCTCTTGTTTGAGAACGATTCTCAGATTCCTATCCCAGTCCATGTAATTTGTTCCATTAAGTTTTTCCTTCTCAAGGATAGATCGCTGTGAAAAAGTTGTGTTGGCAGCCATATTTACTACAACAAATAATGCAAAGAATTTTTAAATAATGCTCAAAAATTAACTCCCACTATATTAAATAGAAAGTCCCAAATATAGTGGTCCAAGATCCATATTTCACTAAAATTTAAGTAAGCTTTGGCTTATCACTTAAAAATTAGTTATTTAGGTAAACAACTCTTGTTAATCATATCCTATATGACTCTTGGTTTGTTTGGTTAACATCATTTGATTATCCAAACACTCATTGCTTCAAGGCCCAAAACCATTTTGATGGCCTTGTAAGTCCAAACCAATATTAAGACCCGAGAATGACGATCATTCATAACATCTTCCTAAGACAGTGTGAAATGCTCTGCTTTGGCAGACACATATCACGACTAGCATAGTTTAAATGGTGGTCATATTGGGAAAGCAATTTAGACTTATAATTAGTCGGGACTAATAATTACACACATGCAGCAATCAAATATTTAAATAAATAATTTAAAACTAGTGCAGTGATATAGTATGACCCAAAATCTTCATATCTCCTTGACATCTTCAACCTGTGTAGTGTACTACTAAAAAAACTACGGGGTTGAAAAACATTACAGGGGATAGTGGGAAACGGCACGCAGGCCGTAAAACAACATAATATAAAACATACATTCAGATCATGCTATACCACCACTTCAAACTGTCCCTGTGACAGAGCAAAATAATTGTGCATGCACGGATTGAAAATTAAATTTTAAAATCCGCAAGTAATATGTAATTATTTCGGATCTCATCCAAAAAATACATATTTAATGAATTCTAAAATAATTCGTATTATATATGCACAAATACAGATCATATCCGTAATATAGATTATTACACATATATAACTACGAATAAAATTAAAGAACTAAATTTCAAAAATAATTAATTTGTGATTAAATTCGAATTTCCCAGATAACATATCTGTAATGTAGATTAATTCCAATATGTTATCATATGGATCTCATCCCAACTAATTTTGTATTCTTCGATCTGAACTAATTTGGCAGATCACTAAATTTGTATAATTGAAGAATAACTTTGTAAAATCAATTCGGATCTCATCCGAAAAACAAGAAACTAAAACTTCCATAATTAGGTCTAAATATAAACTAGATCTAATTCAATCTTTTATTGATTTCAAATTTGGAAAATCAATATATAACACAATCCGAATTTGATACGAAGCATATGACTTTGATTCGAAGCAATCTACAAATACAAACTTTTGATTCCAAGCAGATTACCATTCGAGAACCAAAATTAGATTTTGAATATCAAATTCCAAATTTCAAATCAAAATCCTAGTTATACTCAAAATTATTCCATATATGAAACATAAATTATAAGTATCAAATTGGATCTAATTCAAACTCTTGAATTTTCATGTCCATTCAAATCTCTTCCGAATAATTAGGCTGTAGGATTCCATCCAATTCCTAATCTATTCAGATCTGATTTGTAAAATAAATATTATCACAAAATATTCCAAATATTATTGTGAATATATATTGGATCAAGTTCGAATATCACATCCTTATAAACTTTCGGAATATAACATACATATATAAATTCCGAAATTAATACATCAATAATTTCGAAATTAATAAGAAATTAATTCCGAAAATAAATCCCAAAATAATCAAATTATGTAACCCGAATATAATAAAGAACCGTAGGCTCGGATACCACTGTTGGGTTTCGGGCAGAAAACGCAGCGGAATAAACAAAAATTTTACTACCCAAAAGTAAACGAACGGATCTGAGGTTCTTATTATAAACGAAATTACAAGAATTTAAGAGGGACTTACATAGCAATCTTAATCAAGGATGTCAGACAGTCCGAGAAAACGATCCCGAGCTCTACCGGTATCCACACGCACGTGACTGGATCGGCCGCAGGGAACGTGCTAGCGTTCTCTTCTTTCTTCCTCTCCACTCTAGGTTTAAGAAGTGAATTTTAACTCTTAAAATTCGTGGGTCTCCTTAGCCCTATTTATAAGAGGTGGAAAGAAGGGGTTTTATGGCTAATAAAACCCTTAAAGAGGCCCTAGCCCAATACCATTCGAAAACCTCTTTCGAATTGGGCTAATCAAGCTATTTTAATGTTATTAACAAACATTAATGATCCAAATCACTTAGGTGTGTGACCCTGTAGGTTTATATATTATTGGCAGTGGGCTAGAAATTAATTCAAGCCTCACAAATCATAAGCGGTCTCTAGCAAGACATTATGACTATCCAAAATATATAAATGTCAATTAAATCTGACATAACCTTTTAATGATTAATTTGTGCTAACAATTCTCTTTTGTCAAACGATATCTTAATTGAGACAAGGTTAGGTCGTGTCATCCTTGTTATTCTCAATTAATATTTCTTGATTACCAAGTAAGATTAATCTTGATCAAATGACACCTCATTTGAGCATGGTCATGCTAATTAATCTTACTTGTCAAGGGGCCCAATAGATATCTTTCTCTCGATGTACAAGAGTGACAAAAACTATTTTGATAATTCACATACTGCTACATGGTTCATAATATGTATAATCACCACCTTTATAATTATCCAGTTAAAGATAACATTTAATGGTGTTAATACATATTAATTCTCATGCTAGTAACCATGATTATCTCAAGTATAAGAATATAGCACCTCATCATTATTGAGGACAACACTGATGACATATAACCTAACAGTGTCCCCAAGTTGGGTCTGTCCAATGAACTTGTTCCCTAACAAGCATCTATGTTATTAACTTGATATCTCTATACCCATGACTAGTGGAATATAGCCATCAGTTAATCCACATACTGGTCTATTAATTATTAATGTCCCAAATTAATAATATTAGACCAGGGACAATTAGAATATTATGTTTATTTTAAAGTGTAGCATTCCACAATTAAGTCACATACTTAATTAGCTACTAAACAGAATATTCAGGGACTAAATATTAATAAAGAAAACTCACAATAATAATTAACATAAAATGAGTTTGCAACTTTATTAATTAATGAGCATTAAATATTTATTGATAAATCATAAACTATGATTGTCCTAGGGCATATTTCCAACAAAACTCCCTTCGCCTTGACTTACGGATTCGAAGCCCGAGCACCATTAGAAACACTAGTCCCAAGCAAAAGGGTGGAGGATTATGACCCTAAGAATAACAAGGATATGCTCAGGGCAGAATTACACCTGATTGAGGAAAGGAGGGACAATGCGTTCATCAGGGCTGAAAACTACAGAAGGCAAGTCAAAGAATACCACGATGTGAGGGTCAGACTGAGATTATTTCAGGTCGAATACCTAGTTCTAAGAGGAGGTCTGCAAGCAAACACTTGGAAGGTGGAAAATTTGCCAAAAATTGGGAAAGGCCTTTCAAAATCAAAGGAATCATTAGGCCAGGGACTTACAAGCTGTGTACTCCCAAAGGAAAGCTGATAGAAAGAGTGTGGAATTCGGAACACTTGATGTAATTCTACCAGTAGGTTTGTAATCCCTATTTAAAGTTTATTCAATAAAGTTTGTTTTCTTTCACAAATGTCCTTATAAAATTTGCGAAGGTTCTTTCCAAAAAAAACTAAGGCTATGCCTAATTTTGGTACTCGCAAAAAGTCAAAGTCAAATTCCAGACTCATCCAAATTCTAGAAGCTCAACTTAGTCTTACCATAAGATGAGATCGGGAATAAACGACCTTTTTCAAGGTCAAACAGCCTTATAAACAAAATCAAATTTCCTCAAATAGGAAAGGATGGCCTTTTTCAAGGCCAAAACTGATTTACAAAGGCTAAAAAGATGAACTAAAGGAATTAACTTTGCACCGGAGAGGCCACCAGGCCTCACCAATTAAAGAGGTTTATCACTAAGGTCTAAGTTACCTAAGCGAATAAAACCTACCCTGTTCTGGTTCAAACAATGAGAACCTAGGGGTTAGAATTGGTAAAGCTCTCTGAACTGGTTCAGAAATTAAGAACCTAAGGAAAGCAACCTTGACCGGAAAATCAAGGCCAAAACTATAAGGACAAAAGTGATGAGAAATAAACTTGAGAAAATGGGACCCAAGTCGGACCTCGAGGTCGTCCCAGGGCTCCCAAATCGTGCAATTACAGGGATAAAGGCCAACTTCCCAGAAGGATCAGCAGAGACAGAAGCCAGCCTCAAAATCAAGGCTGGGCGACTTAGATCTATGTTGTAAAAACCGAACCGGAGGGTGACCCGGACGAATGACCAGGTCAAGGGTCAACCCGGACCCGGAGAATCAACCCGGTCAACGGGCGAAAAAAACGGTCAACCTTTGTTAAAATTAAAACATAAAATATGTATAATTATAAAATATATTAAGATTATAAAGATAAAATATATTCTCATATATAATTAACTAGTTATAGTATATAACAAGTATAACAATAATAATATTGTTGTAAGATCTTAAATAGACATAAATAAACAATATGTGTGAATGATGGTTATTATAAAATCCAATTAAACTATACTACGTATAAGTAACTTTCAATTATATTTGAAATGATGTAGACATATTTGAAAAGCAAGATAATATCAATATTCAATAATAGTTACTCCCTATTAGTATTTTGATGATGTTTTGATAATACGTATCAGTTACTAATTATTCCGTATAAAGCTTTAACAGTTTGGCTCAAGACTTATTACAAAATAAAGATATAGGAAATATATAGTGTGACATCACAATCATAGCAAAATAGTTAGTGTGACACATTAGGAAATCTATGTGGATTATAATGTAGAGGTTGTGGGATCGATCCTCGCGTCAAACCAATTTTTTAAGCTGTGCACTGGGCGGGTTAGACGGGTTCTACGGGTTTAGCCGGGTTATGGGCCGGGTTTCCGGCCGGGTCAACAACGGGTCATCAATTTTAAGCGGGTTTGGGCAAGTTTGCCGGTTATTCATAACCGGCTTGGTATTCCCAGCGGGTCGCCGGTTTCCGGGTCGACCCGCCCGGGCCGTTCAGGTCTTACAACACAGACTTAGATTGTGCCTAAAGAGGGTCAGACAGAACAAATAACTGGCCCCAAAACAGGCAGAGTAAAGCAGAAAGAAGGTGCATCATATATGTGCAAAAATTAAAGTGCAGAAGAGTAAGATGTTTGTTACAAGGCCACCCTGAGGGTGGAAAACACAGCAAGCACGCAGGCTTGGGAAGGATGTTTATCAGAAAAGTAAAAGGTAAGCAGGATTTACAAAACAGGTGTCGGGGCGTCCCCCTAAATACCACCTGAAAACTACAACCGGCCTCCATCGACTTCAAACGAGCTCTTTCCCGCGGGCAGGGAAATGGTCTGAGATGTCAGCCTCTTCCCAATTCCCAATCTCCCTCGTCAGAACAGACTGGAGGTCGGTGGCCGGCTTTGCAGGAATCAACGTCGTCTCCTTGACACCCCTGATCAGGCCACTTCTCCTCCCCCTAGAGCAAGTTGATTAATAGTCAGAGGCGACCATCAGAATACAAGGAAAATGAAAAGCTAAAGCAAAGAGCGGATGTTACCAACCTGGGGAGAACGTAAGTGCAACCTTCCCATCGCCGCCTGTATAGTAGCCCAACAGATAGGGCGAACCTTTCCCAATAAGGTCGGCGGCATATTCAGTCCCCTCGTTAAGACTCGGCACATCCCTTCGGCGGATAAGCTCTCCCCACCTGTTGATAAACGACAACTCACCGTTGGCCGGGGTCACCCCACACCCATTTTTGCTCCCAGTTTTGGGAAAGATCTGGGCAAGGTGGGACCTCGAACAGATGGTGGCCAGGCCTCTGGGAGAGCGAGAGGAAGCCCGTGGCTGCAAAAGCACCGGATCGAGCTATATAGAAGTGTCGGAAGAGGGTCACATTTGGCCTAATCCTTAGACCCACACATCGGGCCGTGAACTCGGCCAGGAGAAGGTGCCCCACCGGAGCCAGTTGGCCAGGGACGATGCAATAGTAAGAGAGGACGATCAGCACGAAGGGGTGCAGAGGCAACCTAAGCCCCATGCGCAGGCTGAGCTAGTGAACCCCAAAGTGAAGCGGGGAAGGAGGATCCACTATGTTCTGACCAAGAACAGGGCGAGAGCAAACTATATTGGGGCCGACAAGAGCATCGGTAGTCTCGAATTCGGCGTCCGAAAGGGCCACAACAGTGATGGCCCGAGCCCTATTGGCCGGAAGGTAAAAATGGGTTGAAGAATCATGAAAAAAATATGGAAACGGGAGAGGGTTTGGACGAGGACATGGTGAGTTAGGTTTTTTGCATGAAGGAATCAAGGAATGCACATACACTGAAAGGAGTGCGAAGGAAACATTGCCTTTATAGCGAAACTCTAAATAATGCTTCGGAAGCAGCGGAACCGCTTGGGAACCATCTCAAAAACCGCCCCAGAAACCGCTTGGGAAACCACGTGAAGGTGCTTAGGCGGACGGAAAGAGGAAGAGTCGGATTGGAAATTGAGCCCGGGCTGCAAGCCTACTTCGACGCAATAATTACTAGGCAAAGTTACAGCCACCTATGAAGATTCAAAATCCAAGAACCGCTCCAATTTTACTCCTCCAAAATTCAGCCTTGCTAATTTTGAGGAGTAGGGGGCTCGTGATGGTACCATGGATTCTAGTCATGGCCCAATTACGTAACCCAGCCCATAAACGGGATCAACCCTTAACGGCATTAGCCTAATTAACAGGATTAGCCCATAAACGGGATCAGCCCTCAACAGGATTAGCCTAATTAACAGGATTAGCCCATAAATGGGATTTCTATTGAATACGTCGCTTGGCCCATTAGGAATCAGGCCCACGATAGGAACCCACAGCCAAGCCGGGCTGGACAGCAGACCTCGAGCCTAGGCGGAGTTCTAGTGAGGCCAGGATATTCCTAACGCCTACGTGGCAAACTATCATTCGATGATAGATATTTGGCAACAGGTGGGGCTCGATTGGAATTAGGAGATGATTATTGCGTGAGAATGAAGCACGAAAAGGAGTTCTATTTCGAGCAAGAATATAGTTCATTAATTAAGCATTT